AGAGTACACTCTTACATCGAACCAAGAAAGTAAAATATATGAATTACTCAGAAGAAAATATCCGAAATCTGAAAAACATGTTTCATACGACGAACTGGGAATTATTTACAGATGACTCACTGGAAATCGCTACTGATGTTATCACTTGTTACCTTAAATTCTGTTTTGATATTTGTTGTCCCACTGAAGCCATTTTTGTAAGTTTTGATCGACTTCCATCTTCATAACTAAAACGACCAAAAGACTGGAAAGAAGGACTTCTGATCAAATGACCGACAAAAGTCTTGGAATTATGCTTAGGCCAGGCGCATGGTTGCCTGCACTTGGTTGAGTTGACACCAAACTTCCAGTAGTACCAACAAAACTGCCCAGATTGTCTGGACATTTGTGACCTATTTTGTGACTTGGATCGTGATCGTTGTGGTGACCTGCTTCTGATTGTATGACCCATTTGCATTCTGGTGACAGCCTCAGTGAAACTCTTAACACTCGCAATGAGTCCTTCTATGACGGGGTCTTTTGCTGATTCTACTTTTTGTGTGTGATTTATTGTGCCTGATCCAGTTGGAAGACCTCTTTCCATTATTCTATAAGCTATACGCGCTAAATGAGATAATGAGGTTTCAGGATCTTGTGCATCCAAACAGTGTTGGACGTAGCATGGGAGAGCTTGTATCCATCCTTGTTTTAGGACTGCTTCACCCACTGTGTTATCACCCACTAAGACTTGGAGGTGACGTAGAAACTGTGACGGCGACCGATCACCTAGTGTTTCACCTTGAAAAAGTCTTTGGATTCTTTGACTATCTGATAATGATAAACGGTTCATTATCTCTCGTCTTAAGATGGTGTACGGTTGTGGTGATGGTGGATCTAAAATCAAGTCACGGACTTCTTTGGCGACTGAAGGAGGAAGGATAGAACACAAATCTCTATAGCGAATCCCTTCAGATTTGATATTGTGTCTCGTGAAATAATGCTCGAGTTGAGCAAACCACAACTCAGGATCACTACGATCAAATTCTGGAAGTCGAGATTTCGTAGTCATAACAGTGTCTATCTCCACTGGTGACAAATCCTCCAGATTATGGGTTTCTTTTAAGTCTGACATGAGGTATGTGACAAATATAGCAATAAAATTAGCACGAAAAAAATGGTTTCTATGACACGAATAACTTAAGATAATCAAAAAAAAATAAACTATTTATATACCCAACATAGTTTACGGATTATCAGGTCTACTTTTACGATTGAGTAAAAAAAAATAATATTAATAACAAAAATGAGGTTAATTTGTGTTCAAAAAGGGCTCACCAGTGTCGAGCCTATAGGTAACCTTCGTGTTATTGATAGAAGAAGCCAGACAAAAATTGAATTAGTCTTTATTTCGATCTTAGCGCAGTCACAATGGAGCGTGGGATTATTTGTTCAGACAAACAAAAGCTTTCAACATTCAATATAAGATAATAAAGAATATAACGCTTATACAAAATAAGGAAGAGAATGAATACTTGAACAATACTGTTTTGACATATGCTTGGTTGTTTGGGGTCAATTCTTAACCAACCAACCTATGCTGTTACAAATATACCTCGACTTGGTCTATTAACTGCCTTCTGATATTTGGCTTCCGGGATATTTTATGGAGTCATTTGGCACGCGTTTTTTGGTAGCGATGCTCATAGTCAATCACGAATCCACACCACGCTACAGGTTTAAAGAATAGCTGTGAACCTAGTTTCACTGAAACCAAAATCCGAAGATATCTTGGTGTTACCTTTTCCTCTGATCTCTCTTGGTCTTCTCACGTTTTATTGTCATCAAAGAAGGTTTTCCGTCTGACTTACTACATAAAGAGATTGCATGCTCTTGGGATTACTCGTCATTTGCTCTTACGATTTGTCAATTCTTTCATATTACCTATTATTCTGCTATGGCATTGGATCATGACCACACAATCCACAAAGCTAAACACGAGATTACTTGGAAAATAGATATTCAATATTTTTTAACGCGGAGAAATACCTAACGATGGAGAAGGCGGGATGAATGTATTGAATGGATTGGAGTTGATCGGATGGCATGGCTCGGCCATGTAGGCGTGATCCCTCTGAGTATTACCTTATATCTTTTATTCATATTAAATATATTGTTCTTTCTCTAGCCTAAGCTTGTTCTTCATCATGTATTGGTAGTTAATACGATAAAGTGAGTTGGTGTAGACGATGATGTGACTTTCACGTAAGATCTTATAGATTAGGCAGTTATATCATGACAAATCTACAATTATAGGATTAGGTCTGTTATTAGAGCAATACTAATATCACAGTAGACCATAATTCTACAATTCTTTACTTTTCTCCATCATTCTTTCCTGGGCTTTTGAGAAAAGACTTTGCTGTATTGCGGAGAGTGCTGAAGGAAGTTAGCAAGATGTGTGTTGAATCTTTCGAGGTCACAATTAATGTGGTTGTGGATGGACATCTTAAGTCATGCAAACTTCTGGCAGGTGTTATTTTATCAGATACCAACCACCCCCTTCACTCTTATCTTTCTCCTTGTATATCTTCTGGTAGAATGAGACGTAATTATATTAAAATCCATGAACGCAAGCAAGATTATAAAAGTTCTATAATAACCTATGTAAGATCCAAACTAAGGTTTGTGCTGATGAATAACTGACCAGGCGGTTTAGATACGCACCCTTGTCCGTTGGAACCAAAACAAAGTAATTGGGTAGAATGACGGTTCTATAATTCATCATAAATTTAAATGTACATTATTACCTAAACAAATGTGACCACTCAGCTATCCAACCAATAATTGCTCAATTGATCAAATCTAAATTACAATAAATAAGGAAGTTGATAAAGGATGCAAGAAAATTACCAATGACAACAAATAAATGTTATTCTATCCTGTCTGGATAGACCATGCACAGATTTGTTTAAAAGATAATATTTGGTTGCTTTATAACACAGGGTGTTTCCAATTCTGGTAGAGTGCCTCAATTCACAACCAAAAATGCACAATTCCAGTCAACACAGGTAAATCAGTCAAAAGGAGGAACAAACCAGTATGGCTGCAGCCAAGACTAAGTATAGAGTAAAACAACATAAGTGCAGTTCAGGAAGAAACATCAAGACTTAGTGAAGGCGTAATAAAATTGAAAACTATAATAAAATACAAGTATTACCAATTCCAATGTAATCAACAATAACAGTCGGCGTATAGACGTAAACATCCTTTCCCAGACTCCACCCCTGTTGCTGGATGAGGGTGGGTTAAAATGCCACTGAATCTGTCTCGCTGACAGTTCCTTTTTTATCTTCTGCCGATTCAGCTGTCTCACAAATGTCATTAGTTCAGAGACTGCACCCACGAAGTTTGACCCATCGTCACTGTAAATTTCTGTAGGCTTCCCTCTTCTTCCAATAAAACGTAATAAAGCCATTATAAATGAATCAGTATTCAAACTATATGTTTATTCAATATGTACTGCTCGGGTTTGTGTTGAAATACTCTGTGCTGAGAATTCTATACTGTACCAAAGTATAATATTGAATAAAATCATTATTAATAATAATATTAATAATGATAGTGATAATGATCAATCCATGCATCACTGCCATACAGCTAATATGTAAACAAGAAAAGGATGTAATTCGAGTTCACTCAGACATATTTATGAATACATATGAGTGGCGAATTTGTAAACAATAAACATTCCAAAATGTTCTGTAAATTCCATTTAATCATTTTAATCCGGATTATCGAATCTTTGATAGGTAAATAACTCTTATTATTTAAATAAATGTTTTCGTTACATTCAGTCGTTTGGTGGTTTTTTCGTATTAAACTGTAGTTTATGTCGGTACATTATGGTTCATAACCTACATTTAATCTCAGACAACGGTGTTTAATTGGTTTATCGTTCAATTCATTTGTATAAATTGTTCACTCCTCCAAGTCATATCTCTAACAATAATAGGACAGTTGCAGTAAGTTGTTCTGTAATATTTTCATAAGGAATTGTAATCTGTAACTGAGGTTGTTAGCTTATCTTCTGATTTGTTAATTCATAGAAGTTTAGGAGATGCATTACAATGAGTTTATTTCAGGTACACAAGTGTATTATTTCATCAGTATACTCTATTTCTGTATTATGTATGTATTACGTATTAAAACCCACTTACGAAACAAGAATTCTTTTAATGAATTCAAAACTAAAACAACACATATGAGCGAACACTAAAGTTGTCAATACGATCTTCATCAGATTTTACTCTATGGACATGTGAAAATATTAAACTGATCAAGGGAATTTATGGATCAACGATCACAATGAAATAGATTACAGAATTGCACATAATGGGTAAATTGTACGAATTGATGATTGTCGGACAGGTGTACTATTGCACTACTAATGAGAAGCAAAATGAAATAATGCAAGATTTCAAGATTCACTGACAACTTCACGAAATGTTCATCCAAGTTAATCATCAAACGTAAACTTGACAGTGACTGTTCGTCTCCCCAAAGAAATTTATATCTAATAGTTGAATTCATGAGTCAATTAAATGTAGACCGCCATGGAATACCTGGAAGTACTGGATGGCTGTTTCGTCCTAATAACGGACTCCTAAGTCAGTACATAATTCTAGTGTAGATCATACACAGTCCACTGATTATGATCACTCTATACATATGTATAAATGAGAAAATATCAAAGTGACAGCGAGTGAACATAGATGAATTTGGTGCTAGGAAATAGAGAACAGTTTTGTGCCGATATTCAGCATTAAGAACATCAAATTAACATAATCAAGTGTTGTATTAAATTAAGATAGTTTTGTACAGAAATGATTTAATATTTGCTTATTTTCATAAAAATGTCAGTCATAGTGTGATGCTTTCTACTATTAATATCAACTGTAGGAATGATATCCCACACGTGCAAATTGTATATTGCTGTAGTGATTTTATGCACATTAAGCATAATGAAAATTGAATCAACCAGATTTCCACTACCAATTGAGTTTTACGAGACAGGTATGTGCATTATTTATTCATTATTAATATACTTATCATTATTATTGCTATTGTTAGTGGTAGTAGTAGTGCGGTATGCACGGACACAAATTATTAGTAGATAATAGGAATTGGAAGTAGGATACATACCATTTAAACAGTCAAGTAAAAAGAAGAGAATAAAACTGAAGAGCAGTCGCAATGATAACAAGATAGGAAGAATAATGAAGTGTGTAAACGCCAATTGAAGAAATATATGCAAGTGATGTATTAAGTGTAAGATTTTCATATTTCACAAAGGCATTGGGTGATTCTGAACAGAAGAACAAACTGGCTGTCCTCACCAAATCTCCATCCAATACAGTTGTAATAGTAGTAGTAGTAGTAGTAGTAGTAGTAGTAGTAGTAGTAGTAGTAGTAGTAGTAGTAGTAGTAGTAGTAGTAACACGCAATTTGAGTAGATTTATGATATGATTCACAATTCAATTAACATGTCTTACTTTGTAGCCTCACTAATCATAGTTTACTGCTTTTTAAACTTTAGGAGAAATGTATGTTAACGTAGACGGAGTGGATATTTCACTTGACCATAATGGTGTAGTGAAAATGGTGAAAGGCCACCGTACTACAACAATTTCGTTAGAACCACCAAGTGAAGAAGAAATAGCAACTCGAAATGGATGGCGCAACTGTACTTAGTAAGTTCTTAAATATGAGAAAGATGATCTATGAAAGTGAGTAATAAATGCATTTATACCGCACATACGACAAAGTGGTCATATCAAAGAACAACCATTCTGATAATGAGGCTCAGTTGAATGACAATCATAAAGTGCTTTGAGAAAAGATAGATAATTTTTACACTATTTAAAAGGTATCCAAAATTATGCAAACACTTTTAAAATAACGTAATCGTCAGGAGGTAGCAAGAACATAAATAACTTAGAAGAGAGATGTGAAAAGTGTTTGCTTGATGTATTTAAAAAGCGCATAGAAAAGTCAGACTTGTTTTGAAATTCGTAGTCAAGAATGGAGATCGACTCCACGGAGATATGGAAGATTGGCATAGCACTTCTGCACACTAAGACTGAGATTGAAAAGATGTACTTTCAAAGCCTCGGTTGTATTTAAACGTATGAGATAATTCAAAAACTACTCTGTTTACAAAACAATTTAGTACTCGATTGCAGGTAACATAACTTGATTTCTTCGCACTTGTCAAACATTTTAGCCAATGTGGACCACTGCAACCATCACAATACTGGGACGCAGTTGAATAAAACTGAATAACTACAACACGAATGTAGAAATCATTTATTGTCTACAACGGGAATGTTGGCTCTTGATTATCTCATCTTCGAATGTGTTTGATTTTTTTGTTACACTCATTTGAATAAATTATAATTGTCAGCATCCCTTTTCGTTCTATTTGTTTGTTTACTGGTAATCACATTTCACTGAAGAACACGTAGTATACATATTGCATGATTGACCAGCTACCATGTCGAACGACAGTTGATTTAACCGTTAATTTAACAGCACATTGCAAATCAGTTTTAGTTTGTACATCAAGCACAACGTATGCAACTAACAAACGACAGATATATTGGTTGCCTGGATCTTCCCATTGATGCTAGGGACTATAATTATCCAGTCGCTTTCTGATATGTGTACAACTTTTGTGTATTTCCTAGATGTCGTTATTAAGTTACAAGCATTGTAACAAGTGGATGATGGGTAGTAGTGTATTCCGGGAAGCACGCTTCTTCCTGTTTGTGATTCGTCAGTTGCATGTCTCAACATTCCAGATTTGATGTGCTTTCTGGAAATCGAAACCAGTAGTGTTCTCTCCAAACACCATCACCGGTTTATCCACATGGCCATTGAGTTGAAATAACCAGTGACTTGTGTAATGGAATGAACATCAACTTTGAGACTCGAACAAATGATAACAGTTGCTGGATGCCGGACGGCCAATTATTTCATTATTAGTAGATTTTTTGTTTGAAATGTTACATGTAAGTTATCTCGAGGATGTCACATGATTGATCGGATAAGACAACGTTCGTAAGACATTCTTCCATAGTGTGATATGGAGGATGACTTAAGAATGTTGAGTGTGATATAATTTTTGAAACAATCTCACTACAGTGGACCCAGCTTCCGACATACACAGATTTCGAGGTGTGTGAATCAATGCCTAGATCATATTGTCGCGTATCGATGCAATAATAATTGTACTGCAACCATCTATCTGAAGTTCGTTGCACTTACCCTTATCACTTGTGATATTTTCCTCGGTTCTATTCATGTAGAAATACAGTATTCTAGGTTTCGCACTAGAACTGAAGAAACGATCTCTCGAAGTTAGTGATAAGCATGCATTTATTGGCATTTCTGACAGAACTATGTATGAACTGTAGACGTTGACTCTACGGGTGTTCATCTCTCTGAAGTTGATAATCTCCGTGCCGTATATGAATCTCCCATATATATTCCTTCGTGGTTTATAAGATGTACAGTGTTGGTACAAAAAACGGTCTGGTTTTTTATGATTTTCAGTGGTTGTTTGGCTGATATCACCTGAAAAGTCAGCTCGTCATCCGAATGAGAACAGTGACATGAGGATTTAGTAAGAAACACTTTTCACTTTTAGAATAGTGAAGTTTTTCTTGACACTGTCCCGTCTACTAAAATGTCTATCAATATCACAGATGCATCTCCGTTGGACAAAGGTGCAGCTCTACAGCAGAATGCTTTCAAAGTTTAAGCGGTAAATAAATCATGTTCAGCTTCATCAGGACCATGAACAAAAGGGTCATCATGACAATTATTAACATTGCTAAGATCATCAACTACGTTATTCATAACATCTCGGAATATTGTTGAAGAACGACTTAGACTGAATGGAAGACAATTGTATTTAAACAGACTAAAATAAGAGGTAATCATTGACGAGATCGACGAATGTTAATCCATTAGAATCTCGAGATGGGGACATTTCAAACACTTTTTGAATACAAATTCAAAACAATAAAGTGAATTGAGAATACGACCAGCTTCCATTGTAATGAATGTTCGCTTTCAAAGTAAGAGAAGTCAATGGTGACAAGTCGACTTTACTACCTCTCTTTAAACTCAGTACAGATGGTCCTATTTCACTCACTATGAAATCATAAAGGGTGTATAAATAACTGTCATCTATATATATATATATATATATATATATATATATATATATATATATATATATATATATATATATATATATCGCATAAAAAAACCTTAAACACTGATTATCTATATATTTCGTGTTCAAACCTAGTATGCTGTATGTTGCATGACACAATAAATCGTAACATAATGCAGAAAGGTTTCTATAACATAGCTCATATCTCTGACTTCTTGTTTACCGTCTTAACATACAATTTTAATACACCTCCAGACTATCGGTGGACAATGTTTGGTCAATCTACTAAACCAGACTTTCAAAAGATTACTTTTAGAAACATTTAAATGGTATAACTTAGCCACAACAAAAAGATTCAACGATAGACACAACCGTCTGTAATAACGAAATTGTCTCCAATTGTTGCATCACGCAGAAAGCTTCCTAAAACATAGTTCATGTCTCTGACTTCCTGTTTACTGTCTTCATATTCAATTTTAATACACCTCCAGACTAACCTATTTTGGCACATAAATACTTATGCTTTAACAAATGAAATTAAATATGATCTAATACTTTCTGTATTACAGTAGTGCTTTATTTTATTCTTCACAGTTCATGTAACAATTATTCCCGATAAAAACAAAGTAACCTGAAGAAGAATAACAAACAAACAAACATACTCTGAACTGGATTTCTAGTTGCAGTTTCATTATCGCCATCATCAGCGGTAGTAGTAGTAGTAGTAGTATCGATAATATCATCAGTTTTATTAGCATAAGTAGTAGTTGTCATAATATTCATAGTTGAATAAATTTTATTTGGGATGGACAGAATTGTCTTTTGATTTTGACTTCTCTGGGTAACAGCCAAAAATATAACATGGGTAACCAAACACTCATCGTCCATAAATAGAAACTTATTGTAGCTAGATTTCAAATTGATTCAAAAATGATGTAGACCTGTTCAAACAATGAGGGATCATGATCGATGATGAGGTGAATGACCTCAAAACGAATTTCAGGAAACAAGTAGAAATCGAACATTGATGAATAATCATCAAATCATCACTCTCTACACTACGAGATTCCACCTTCCGAATTGCCTAATTCTCATTCAGTCAAGTCGACACAATAAGGAACTCAATACGAGAAACAATTTCTAATCAAACTTGTATTCTGTGTTCAGCAGTTCCGATATCTATTCATGTGCGGATAGATCCTTCACAATTCACTAATGATTTCTGTAGGTAGGAATAATGTGATGAGTCTCATTTCATTTTGATCAACTCCGTCTACCAACACAGTAATGAATTCCATATGGTATGAGGCATGAAATATTGAATAAAGTGGGCATCTTAACTATTGGCTGTATGTATCCACCTCATTTTCAGCATTTTTGAAACCATCGATTACGACTTGCATCGCAACATCAAACAGTTCATTTGGGAGCCATCATATTTGTTTCTCAGTCAATGTATTGACTGCTGATGGAATGATGACCACTCTCATTTTGCCACTTCTTCTACATTTCAAAACACTTACATTCTCACTGTCCTTGATGAATATAATGAATCACAAAACACACTAATCAGACCAAAATAATGCAGCATAGGACACAATTACAATTTACGTATCAGGTCAAAATAAAGATGATAAATGATGAGACATTGAAAAGATAATTCGAACATTTCAAGCTGCCAGTGAATAATAATATTAATAATAATAATAATGATAATAATAATATTAACTGCCAGTCAATACCAATGTTAAGAGTTTTGCTTCAAACGTCATGACAATCTTAATTTAGGTATCTGAAAATTAAAGAAATACTTCAGCCACCATCTAAGAGGTACAGATATTTATAGATGGCTGTCTACATTGATCTGATATCTTCGGTAATAATCAAGTCAGGTAGTTAACAAATCAGCTTCCAGCTGAAAATGACGTTAGCAAAAGATACAAAAGTTGAGTAGGCCACATTTTATGGAAGACGTCAAATTGCGTCATGAAGAAAGCTCTAAACTGAAATGAGAAAGGCAAAACGTACTTATTGGTAACAGTAGTAATGTCGATGAACCTTCAAGGTCTCATACATACGAATTTTCTTAATGGTGTTTCATCAGACAGAAAGAGAAACTGAATACATTCTTCATTATCAAGGGCTGGGTGAATCTGTTTTGAATGCATCATTGATGAGAAAATAAACAAGTCCCAACAAATATTTGTCAAACGTGACTATTACTCTTGGTTATTTTTGACAGAAACATTGAACCTAAACTTCAAATTGGAGAACCTCACCAAATTCCAGAAAGCCTCCATAGAGATTAAATTCTAGGGAGATACCGTTGTTGAACACTTGAAACGAGGTTAAACGACGTCTTAGAATGAACCGTCTATGCTGTATAGAATTGCATCGTTTATTCTAGTCTCCCCATCACTCGTGAGTGCGTCAAAGAAAATCTAACGAATTGGGCCAAATCAATGCTCATCTGTGTGTTCGTTTGCTTTTGTAGAACATGTTCCATTCGCTGCAAAGAGCAAAGTACAACTGTAAGAAAAATCTCTTGATCAACGAAACATTTGGTAATTTGATAGCGACTACTCAATTTTTACGTGCCGTTTGTTCTGGGATGTGTTTCAAGTTTTCAAATGACTTTATCGACTGTATAGACTATGGTTTATTATGTTTGACTGATCGTATGGGCTATCGCTTGAACAAACTGTATTGCTAGTAGGACCAGGGATTTCTGAAGGCCAAAAAAATCATTATTTTGATAAAGTGGGTTAATTTGTAGAGCTTGATTAGGCGGACAGTTAAGACAGGCACTTGCCTGTTGGGGTTGGGTTGATGGTGCGTAACCTAGTAATTCATCTTGCCCAATGGAGAAGTGTTGAGCAAAGTTGCGTCTTACAGATTTATTATTTGAAATGTTTGATGTTGAGTAACCTAGTAAACCATCTTGCCCTGCAAAGAGCAAAGTACAACTGTAAGGAAAATCTCTTGATCAACGAAACATTTGATAATTTGATAGCGACTACTCAATTTTTACGTGCCGTTTGTTCTGGGATGTGTTTCAAGTTTTCAAATGACTTTATCGACTGTATAACT